TGTACATTTTGACAGATTTCAATGTATTTGCTTCGCTGATCTTAACATTCAGTACCAGAGAGTATTTCAAGCTTTTTCCCTTTTTTAGATGAGTCTAAAAGATGGAAACTGGATTTTTTTTCCCTTCCCAAAAAATATAGTGCACCTTTGCAAGGAAAACCTACATCTGAATTTGTGCGAAAAGGTACTTTTGTGTATGTAGGTTGAGACAGATTTCAATGTACTTGCCTCACTGATCTAAACATCCTGTACCAGACAGAATCTCTGAATCTTTTCCTTTTTTGTAAAATTATATTGCACTTTTGAGACTAGTTTATTAGTGTACACACTGACCTGTCAGGTTTTTATCCTCTGTCTCATCTTAAATGTCTTGTCAATCCCATGGTCTTGATGCTGTGCCAAAACCACACTCCTCCAATCTAACTGACATCCTTACAGTTACCCAGGCACCCTCATCCAGGTTTGGCCATTGTAAGCTGTGTGAATTTTAAGAAAGAAAGCCAACTTCAGCCAGTAATGAATCTGTCTGCAGAGCACTAAGCCAATCAGACATTGAAGCTAACACTCAGTGGGTCAATCTGTCAAACAGCAAGAACATCAACTAATCAGAACACTATACATCATCATTAAGTCCTTCAGTAAACCAATAAGTAAATCAGCCATCAATTAGACACTCAATCACTCAGCAAGCCAGTCACCTGTGTGTAGGCAGTCAGTCAGTCAGAGAATAACCTCCTTAGAGTAAAATTAACAGTACCTTTTCTTATTGTGAAACAGCATGAACATTCCTCTTTTTCACAACTCTCTGGCCAGAAAACACTTCTATTCTTGGTCTTGTCTCTACTTCCTCAGAGTAAAAGAATCTTCTGAAAACAAATGACAAGAAAACCATCAAACTTTGAATGACTTGTCAAACCTTTCAAAATAGTTAAGTAATACACAAGAAAAATACAACTATCAGTTGGTTTTTTTGCTTAAAAGTATCATTCTACGATGTGCAAATTGTCTCTCTTAGCCATTTGTTCACGAAGACAGACCCTTTACTTTTAAACTCCTCCATTAAAACATGTGTATGATGCTGGAAAGACTTGACACTTCTGGTTCAAATGCTCCACCTCACCCAGGAAAGGTTCAAATTTCCTATCTCCTAGGCACATAGACCATCAAAATTAATGCCAATGGAATGCATGGGGAGGGGATGTTCAAGCTTTCAATTGATAGACACCTAACTTACACCTGATTTTCTAAATTGATAAAGGTCTGCTTCAGTCAGTCTGCTGTGCAGATCTTCCCATGCATTTTGGGTATCAATGGAAGTTATACCAAGTGTTAAAAGAGGGTGAAATTTTTCTAATCAAAAAAATCTATTTCTTGATTAGAAAAATTTCACCCTCTTTTAACACTTGGTATAATTTTCATGTTTTCATGCTTCTGTTCAGTACCAGATGACAGATGACATCACAATGTGGTAAGAACAAAAAAGTGGCACACATTGTGTACTACAGTACAGACCCACAGGATTATGGATTCTAATTGTTTCATACAATAAAAAAACAAAATGTTGTTATTTTAATTAATAGAGATTTCATCTGGGCATCTGTACCGGAACAGATCATACATTAGAGGTAAATGAATCGGTGTGCGCATAAGTAAGGTTATCATATAAGACTTTTTTATAACATAGTTGGGTTCATGTTAACTAATTCTTCAACACAAGAAACCATCATACAGTGTATACCGTTACCCATGGTGCACATTAATGACATAAAATTATTGTGAAGACATTGAATCATATCAGATGGAATAGCTCTCTTAATAAAATACATGAAAAAATTACGCAGTTATGATTAAGATAAATGCAGTTTTCAGGTAATTTAGTGCAGAAGAGGGTTAATTCAGTGCAAAGAAGGTAACAAACAAGACATTCTGATTGGTCAGAATGATTGGTCAATGTCAAGGTCAATGTCAAGGTCAATGTCAAGGTCAAGGTCAATGTCACTAGCAGGATTTGAATAAGTTATTTTTGCATGTGATACACGTGCTTTTCTTCTGCATAATTATGATAAGCTACCTTTTATTTTTTTATCTATATTATTAATACATAAACACATGATTTTTCTCGTGCAATTTGGAATAAATAAGCACTTGTAAATTTTTTCAAAGACCACAAACTGTTGTTTGATTTATCATCTACGGGTTTATGTCGAATTAATTTGATGGCCTGCTCCCAGTTGGCTTGTTAGCTCAATTGGTAGAGCGCTGCACTAGTATCGCAGAGGTCAGTGGTTCGAATCCCGTACAGGCCTGAAATTTTTTTCAGGTCTGATTTTCACTATTGCTCAAATAGTGCTTTACTGCGAAGGATCGTGCTCATATACGTCTCATAACCGCAGTTCACACATATGTTTCATATGTTTGTTGTTGTTTGATTTATCATCTACGGGTTTATGTCGAATTAATTTGATGGCCTGCTCCCAGTTGGCTTGTTAGCTCAATTGGTAGAGCGCTGCACTAGTATCGCAGAGGTCAGTGGTTCGAATCCCGTACAGGCCTGAAATTTTTTTCAGGTCTGATTTTCACTATTGCTCAAATAGTGCTTTACTGCGAAGGATCGTGCTCATATACGTCTCATAACCGCAGTTCACACATATGTTTCATATGTTTGTTGTTGTTTGATTTATCATCTACGGGTTTATGTCGAATTAATTTGATGGCCTGCTCCCAGTTGGCTTGTTAGCTCAATTGGTAGAGCGCTGCACTAGTATCGCAGAGGTCAGTGGTTCGAATCCCGTACAGGCCTGAAATTTTTTTCAGGTCTGATTTTCACTATTGCTCAAATAGTGCTTTACTGCGAAGGATCGTGCTCATATACGTCTCATAACCGCAGTTCACACATATGTTTCATATGTTTGTTGTTGTTTGATTTATCATCTACGGGTTTATGTCGAATTAATTTGATGGCCTGCTCCCAGTTGGCTTGTTAGCTCAATTGGTAGAGCGCTGCACTAGTATCGCAGAGGTCAGTGGTTCGAATCCCGTACAGGCCTGAAATTTTTTTCAGGTCTGATTTTCACTATTGCTCAAATAGTGCTTTACTGCGAAGGATCGTGCTCATATACGTCTCATAACCGCAGTTCACACATATGTTTCATATGTTTGTTGTTGTTTGATTTATCATCTACGGGTTTATGTCGAATTAATTTGATGGCCTGCTCCCAGTTGGCTTGTTAGCTCAATTGGTAGAGCGCTGCACTAGTATTGCAGAGGTCAGTGGTTCGAATCCCGTACAGGCCTGAAATTTTTTTCAGGTCTGATTTTCACTATTGCTCAAATAGTGCTTTACTGCGAAGGATCGTGCTCATATACGTCTCATAACCGCAGTTCACACATATGTTTCATATGTTTGTTGTTGTTTGATTTATCATCTACGGGTTTATGTCGAATTAATTTGATGGCCTGCTCCCAGTTGGCTTGTTAGCTCAATTGGTAGAGCGCTGCACTAGTATCGCAGAGGTCAGTGGTTCGAATCCCGTACAGGCCTGAAATTTTTTTCAGGTCTGATTTTCACTATTGCTCAAATAGTGCTTTACTGCGAAGGATCGTGCTCATATACGTCTCATAACCGCAGTTCACACATATGTTTCATATGTTTGTTGTTGTTTGATTTATCATCTACGGGTTTATGTCGAATTAATTTGATGGCCTGCTCCCAGTTGGCTTGTTAGCTCAATTGGTAGAGCGCTGCACTAGTATTGCAGAGGTCAGTGGTTCGAATCCCGTACAGGCCTGAAATTTTTTTCAGGTCTGATTTTCACTATTGCTCAAATAGTGCTTTACTGCGAAGGATCGTGCTCATATACGTCTCATAACCGCAGTTCACACATATGTTTCATATGTTTGTTGTTGTTAGATCTTGCAAGAGTTGGCCTGATTTTACATTCATTTGTCAAGGGTGTTGGGATGAATTTTGAGACCCTTTGATAGCACACTGTCAGAAATTTGATGATGAGATGCAACCACAAAAGCCAAATAGGAAGTCCGTACTGATCAGTCTCTACCTAAATTCTCCAAATTTTTGGCAAAATCACCGATTAGTACTTAAAAATGCCCTAAAATATAGTTTGGTGATCCAACAACTCAACAAGCACGGTCAGATCAAAGGATGTCCAAATCTTAAAGCAAATTCAGGTTGATTGCTCAAGTAACATTCACATTAATTGAATGTTGACCTGACGAATTTAATCCAAAGGCTGTCATGCCAAGCATGTGCTTTACCGTGATTTTATGCCTCTAACTTTCCACATGTTTTATACATTGTGTCTTGAAGACCACGAGCTGATGCTTGAATCAGTTTATAATTAATCCAGCCATCATTTAATTTTACACTGTTAAACAAAATATATAAACTTGAAAGGACACATAACTATCTATACCATGGTGCTACGAAGAAAAAGGCTCTTTTTAAAAAAAAAAAAACACACACACACACACATACACCAAGGTGCCCATGGTTCTCCTAAGTTACTATGAAATTTACTGCAAAGCAGCTAATCATTGATGGAATGGGCATAAACATTAGTTAGCTTGGTTAATCAGCTTAATCATTAACTTGGCTTATCGGCATTAGAACTTGCAAACCAGCAAAGTCTGAAAAATAGATCAGGCTAACGAAACACAATAAAATAACCCGCTTTTAACTGGATTTCTCCACGTACCTCTTTTTGGCATGAATGTTTAGAATTACATGAGCAACGCGGCCTTCATTTCTTTGTTTTGCAGCCGCCGTTTCCATCTGTCTTGAGTCCAAATGCCATCATATTCTGGAAAATTTGTTTAAAATGAAATGAATGTCAAGTTGACTTCCTGCTCGTGGTTTTAAGCCAAAGCTAGCTGTGATTTTGTATCACATCTAACACCTTCCGCCGCCATGTTGAATTGGACCACTTTTGTTCTCAGCTTGTTCCCAGTTCTTCTCCGCTACCGAGGAAGACTTCGCAGATTTCGCAGATTACGAACTCTCTTAGGTCAGAAGCGCTACAATAATTATAGCCCATATGCTTCTGATTTGGTCGTTTCACGTCCATTCCTTTTTCCTTGATGTAAAGGTTTTATCGAAAGCCTTTAATTTGTGATTATCGTTTTTCTATAAAACACAACGCCAGCTCTGCTACCTATTTGAACTTCGGAAAGATCAACATTTCGCCATGCCGTATGCTAATGTATAACTTTGCCTTGTTCACATGGAGTTTCTGTGTATATGGAAGCCATTGCCCACCTCACAATAACAATAATTAAACTCATAGTCCATTGAAGGGTTACCTCTCCCCTGCCAACCAGTACCCATATTTGTACCTGGAAAAGGTGAGGCACTTTGAGCTTACAGTACCTTGCCCGAGAACAAAATGCAATGCTCCAACACTAGACACCAAAATTGGACTAATGTCGAGTCCAGTGCACTAACCATTCAGCCACCATGCCTCCTCCTCTGATCCTTATGATTAGAGAGGGGTGAATGGGGTCAATTGGGATTAGGGTGGAACCCTTATAACATTGNNCTCAAAGGATGTGTGGAAAGACAATGTAGCTTTTTATTTAGACTTCGTTAGTTTTTGGTATAAAAGGAACCCAGCAGATGAAGCCAGTGCGCCTCACGGCCGTATTTGGCGCAAGAAGTGCGAGGGAGTTATGCGCGGCTGCACTTCAAAGGGGGGCAAGGTGGGAGGCGGTGGAAAAGTTGTGAAAGTGATTGTGGCTATTAGATATACGGCAAAGGTGCTATTGTGAAGGTGCTATTGTGAAGGTGCTATTGTGAAGGTGCTATTGTGAAGGTGCTATTGTGAAGGTGCTATTGTGAAGGTGCTATTGTGAAGGTGCTATTGTGAAGGTGCTATTGTGAAGGTGCTATTGTGAAGGTGCTATTGTGAAGGTGTACGGCAAAGGTGCTATTGTCTGTCGTCAGTATGATACGCTAGACGGCGCGTACTTTGCCAAATTTGTACAGGATCATTTCGGGAACATTTTTACAATAGCGAACAAAACTGTGTCACGATTTTTTGTGCAGGACAACTGTCCTGTTCAAAATAGCGCGCTAGCACGCCGTGCGCAGTGATAAAAAAGCAAAGCAGTTGAAACTTCCCCCAAGGAGCGGCGACATTCATTGTATCGAAATTTTTTTTTTCACGAAGTTAAAGTAGAGCTGGATAAGTAAGCTCCTGAGTTAAATATTACACGCGAAACTTATGAAGAATTCAGTGAGTGTGTCATTAGAACAATTAAGAACATGCCAGTTGAGGTAGTTCACAAAATCATAGAATCGATGGATAATCGGATTTCTCTAGTTATACGTTCTAAGGGTCAGAGAACAAAATACTAGCCATACACTTGGCCAATTAGTAGAAACCCTTAATTGGGAGATAAAACCATGGTTTTAGTGAGGAGACCACGTCACGCGAGTGACAACCTAACCTAACCGTAAATAAAGCCTGTATAGTACCTGGTTGCTATGACAGTGCGTAATTTTTCGTTCCAAAAACGCCTGTTCAGCTGAATTTTAAAACTCGTCTAGCAAATCCGCAAAAGACTACGAAAATGGTTAAATGCAAAGATTAAACGATTAACCAACTGGAACATAGTCATTTGAACGATTAACAACGGTTAACAACGGTGAACGGCATTTTATAAAGAAAAACATGGAGTCTATTGTTTTAATCCGAACAGTTGTTAACCGTTGTAAACCGATGTTAACCGTGTTTTAAACTCTCTGTTAGGTTCTCTTTATTAAGTTAACCGTCTACGACCAAGCCATTATGTTTCTGAGAGAAAAATAAGCTCTGCAAAACACCTAGCACACGATGGGACTTGTCGTTGTTGTTCCCGCAGGATCTGATACGTCGGAAATGAAATCTTTTCCACCTAACGTCCATCATACCGCATTCACGTTCACCCACAATTTCATTTTTGATGTACATAAGCCTATGTTTTCCCGTACAAAATATTGGGGTTTCACTAGTTAGTGAAATATCCTTTGTGAAGTGAGTTTTAGGCGCCGGTAAATGCACGATGTGACCTTCTAGCATAAGTAACAGATCATGCCGCGGTAGAACTTTTGGCGACCACCGAAAATCGTTCAAGAAAATACTTTCAGCATTTTGAACCCCAACCCAAGCAAAGCTCCCGGGAGCAGGATTACAAAAAGTGTTAAAAATCAAATTCAATGGATTAAGGTGGCTCACAATAGTTTTAGGACTGGGTTCTTGCTGTGCGAATCACGCGCGTCACTCGCGGGATTTTTAAAAGCCATGGAGGAGGTAAACAAACATGACGGCGCGTAAATTTTTTTGCCGAACTCTATTCACGTCTAATATTCAGGGTAAATCGCATTTTTACGAAACTTTTAGCCGCCAAAAGTCTTTATTTGTACTATTAGCTAAAGAAAATATTGCTGGCCGATCGGCATATGTTGTGCCGAGAAGAAAATTTTATAGTTTTTATGTACGCGCTGCGATCGATCGT